AGTAGCTGGGATTACATGCACATGCCACCATGCCCAGCTAATTTTTGTAGAGATCAGGTTTCACCATGTTTGCCAGGCTGGTCCCAAACTCTTGACCTCAAGTGATCTGCTTACCTTGGCCTCCCAAAGTGCTGGGATTACAGGCCTGAGCCACCACGCCCGGCCGCAATCTCTTTACAATATGTGTTAATAGAAGATAGCTGGATTCTCATATCTGCTTCTGCATTAAATCTGTTGTTTTGATTGATGTACAGGAAAAATTTTGGACTCTCAAGGTAGTAGCTGGAAAAGGGAGGACTTCATAGGCCCCCCAAAAGTGTCCTATGGACCACCTGAAAATGATTCCAGATCCCCAGTTCTCAGATCACACGTTGGGAACTATTGTCTGTTTCCTTACAGTAAGGGTGGAAGCAACAGCAGAGCTTCGTGTTCGCTCAGACCAGCTGCAGATGTTCATCTGAACTTTGAGAATGGTCAAACAAAAGCAAAATCCGATGGAACACTACTGTGATGGTCTCTGCCTTCCTGTTTTGGAAACAGGTCTGCCACAGGACTTTGTATTTCTCTCAGAGATTCATGTATACTTCTCTTTGCTCTATGTTTGATGCTATAATAACCAATAGCCATTGCTGCACAACTTTTGAGAACTGCATTAAAATTTCTCTCTATATATATCTATGTCTATATCTATCTCTATCTTTCTTTCTATCTAAAAATCATGGGCTGCAAATAGTACACTGTCAACTAGAATTTTTGCATATCTTTAAAAGAAAACGCCTCAGTAACTCATTCTGAGTTGTTCATTGGTAAGTAAGAGGCCTACTAAAGTGAAGATGTAACCAAAATGAAGAGTTGAAGAATGACAGCTTAAATACATGTCAGCAGTGAAGGCAAATATAGTCCCTGCTCATCAAAATCCAACACTCCATTTTAGGAGTGGAGCAAGTATACAAATACATTGTAGAGAGAGTTGGCTGCCGTGTCAAAAGTCAGGCAAGCTCATAGATTTGCACTTTCTTTCAGAGCTTCATTATGACAACCACAATTACATGCTTCCTGGGACTCAGTCAAGGCTGTAAGCCTTTCTGTAAAGATGAGCTATGAAAAGAAAAAATCCAAGGCTGCTCAGAGACTGCAACAGATCGTTACAATTTCCTCCCACTTTCCATAGACTATGCTTGACAGAGAAGTAGGATACTGATATCTTTCCAAACCATGCACACACACACCCATCATATGCCTCAGAAGTAAACAACCTTCGTTTCTTTTGTCATGGGTAGCAATATGAATTCCTTAAAATTAAAAACAAAAATGTCTCTACACAGTATTCTTCAAACTTCGAACAATATTGGTGGCCACTATTTCAAAAGAAAGTGTATTTGTCATTGTCAAACTTGTTTACATGAATCAAGCAACAGCATCACTGCAGGAACACTATCATCTTGTCCTCTTCCCCTACCTTCTCTTCCAGGTTTCAAAGCAAGGTCTATGATATTGAAAATGCATTTACGTTAGTTTAAATAAGACTTTTTCCCCCTAAAAGCAGGTGGAATTTAATAACATCCCCCAATTCACAAGCACTCAAGTCTGTAAAAGTTGTAAACAGAAGTGAGGTGCAAGGGACAGTGTACTGTATCTGGAGAAAAGCATCTGCATTTTCCGATTTTTCAGCTGAGCTGACACTTCATATTTTCATTTACCTTTGTTTATTTCTGCATATCTTCAGAAATGCAAAAATTTGTGCATTCAGATTTTGCAAGCCACTGCTAAATGGTGGTGATTTTCTTATGTCTTTGGAAAAATATTTCTCAGCAGATTTGGATGACATGTAAAACCTCATCTGCTATAACCCAGTCTTTCTTTGGCTTTTTATAATATCTGTGATAATAACCAAGAAAAGATTCAAAACGGATTTGTCTGCCATCAAATTTGACTCTATGGCCTATAGTCTGCAAAATGATATTTAAAAAACAAAACAGAACTGAGGACACATATCAGAATCTACTGTTTAAAATTGGTGTCATTGACATAGACAAATGTTTGGAGAAATGATACTTGTGGTATCATTAATTAAAGGAGAGTGGGTTTTTAGTCCCGCCTGTCTTATAAGTTATTTTAAATGAACTACAGGTTCTAATCATCATTAATTCTTTCATCAAATATTTTAATATTGCTGAGCTGGATAGCTGTGACTCATGTAAATTATTTAGCCTGTTTGAGCCTCAATATAAAAGTAACAATTGCTTTAATACGAACTGGATGTTTAATCTCAGACAATAATAATAAATAACAATTGCAACGTGCTTTGTGCTCTAAAAATAACTTTGCATGTATTATCTTTGTCTTTTTTCCACATTTTATCTGCTTTTCTCAGAAAAAATGCAGAATGTCTACTTAAATTTGAATGTTATTAGAGAAATTTTATTTTTCGTATAAGTATGTCCCAAGCATGGAACATGTACTGTTATTTGCCACATCTGACAAATCTATACTTGGAACAGCTGAGGCAGAGACAGTTAGGCAATTTACCCGAAGTCACCCCAGTTTTTGACCCTGTTCTTTTAACTCCATATCTAGTGGGATTTCATTATGCTACCACTGCACTCAGGCTCTCTGAAAGTCAATTTTTTATTCTTTGGAAAGATACAAAATAGTTTTTAAAAATATGATGAAAATGGGTCTAAACCAGGTAATTATGAAAGGTCCTTCCATTTGTGAGAGGCTATGTTCATAGGGATGGATGAGGTTAACGTGGAACAATGCTACAGCTATTACAAAGAGAGCATTAGTCAAGGTTCCTAGTTGTAATCAACAGAATCCATCGCACCTCATTAAGAGAAAAAAGAATTCTAAGATGCAAAGCAGCTTACAAGAAATTCTGCAAATCTAGGCGCTAGAGCTAGGGGGAGTCAAACTCACCGTAATGACTGCCCAGTGAAGACCACAGTTCACTGCCATTGAGCATAAGCTTTGCAGCTCATACAACCAATCCTGGGAATAGGTTACTCTCATATATACTGACCTCCGCTGCCTTTGAATGTGCCAGATTTCTCCACCACCCTCTATCATCCTCACTAGGGTGGATTCTGTGCATTATCTTCTATCACTCTTCTCTAAATCAAAATCTCCAGTGAGGTCTAATTGTTGCTGCCAAGGTTATATTATTATTATGTCTTAATTCCAAGAAAAATTGGAAAAACAAATCTCTGGTTTTTACACCAGACAGACAAAACTCACAGTGGGAGATTCTCCATACATAGAGAAGGTGCTCAGTAAGTACTGGAGGGCGGAGAAAACATGCCACACATTGACTTCTGATGTGGTTTAGATTTGTGTCCCCACCCCCTGCAAATTTCATGTCAAGTTGTAGTCCCCACTGTTGAAGGTGGGGCCTAGCAGGAGGTGGTTGAATTATGGGGGTGGATTTCCCACAAATGGGGAAGAACCGTCCTCTTGGTACTGTTCTCATGACTGTGAGTGAGTTCTCACAAGATTTTTAAAAGTGTGTAGCACCTGCTCCTTCACTCTCATTCATTCCTGCTCCTGCCATCTGAGACAGCTTACGTGCACCTTTGCCTTCCACCTGTATTGGAAGCTTCCTGCGGCCTTCCCAGAAGCCGAAGCAACTATGCTTCCTGTACGGCCTGCAGAATTATAAACCAATTAAACCTCTTTTTAAAATAAATAAATAAATAAATAACCCAGTCCCAGTCTCAGGTATTTTTTTTCTTTCTCTTTCTCCCTTCCTTCCTTCCTTCCTTCCTTCCTTCCTTCCTTCCTTCCTTCCTTCCTTCCTTCCTTCCTTCCTTCCTTCCTTCCTTCCTTCCTTTTCTTCCTTTCTCTCTCTCTCTCTTTCTTTTTGATAGAGCCTTGCTCTAGGCAACCTCTGCCTCCTGGGTTCAAGCGATTGCCCTGCCCCAGCCTCTCAAGCAGCTGAGACTACAGGCAAATCCACCATGCCTGGCTAATTTTTGTATTTTGGGTAGAAATGGGGTTTTACCATATTGGCCAGGCTGGTCTCAAACTCCTGACCCCAGGATCTGCCTGCCTCAGTCTCCCAAAGAGCTGGGATTACAGGCATGAGCCACTGCACCCAGCCTCAGTTATTTCTTTATAGCAGCACAATAATGGACTAATACAATTTCAAAAACATGCTAAAATATTAGATTCTCTTCCAGAATAATTTTACTCACTGTTAACATATACATACTATACTATTCCCACCAAAAATGCACATATTAGCAGTCTTAACTCAAGTAATCTGAGTCATTTTTCTTTTCTCTTAAATCTTAGAAAAGATTGCATATTTTATTATACAATGAATCTTCATCCATCCAGAAACTTGAACCAAATCACCAATCAATAAATTCAAATTATCATACTAAGGTCAGGTGCAGTGGCTCACACCTGTAATTCCAGCAGTTTGGGAAGTCAAGATGAGTGGATCTCTTGAACTCAGAGTTTAAGAGCAGCCTGGGCAACACAGTGAGACCCTATCTCTACAAAAATTTTAAAAAATTATCTACCTATGGTTGTGCAAGCCTGTAGTTTCAGCTACTTGGGAAGCTAAGGTGAGAGGATCGCTTGACTGCTGTGAGATGAGATACAGCCACTGCACACCAGCCTAGGTGAAAGAGCAAGGTCCTGTCTCAAAAAAGCAAAACAAAAACAACAAAATACCATCTACCCCTATCTACCCAATAACACTGAGAATCCCAGCATGTTTCGCATGTAGTTTTTGCAGCTTGACAGGTTTCATTTATTTTTAGAGAATTCCAGTCTCTTCAAATTCCAGTGTTCCATATGAATTATCTACTTCTTAGTCAGCATCTAGAAACACATTTTAAAGCACCGAGAGTTGCTAACCCTTATTGTGATTAAAGCGTGTGTTTGAAATCCAAGGATATAATCTTCTCAATCTACTCTTATTGCTGTTATAGGTTTCTTAGGTCTAGAATTGATATTTTAAGGATCATGCATGAGTCATGAGAAGAAAAAAGACATTGTAGGACACATTCATTTGTTTTCTAGAGACCAGGTAAATCCTGAAAGGAGTAGCAAAGACTGGGTGCCCCATATATAAACCATCCAGGTACCTCACTACTTCAGCTGGACCCACTAACCTGAAGTGGCCCCAAACTACATTTATCAGAAGCACCTGCTTCACAGGTGCCAAGGTAAAGTATCTTGATCCAATGATATCCTTATTGCTATAAACAGATTCATGGATTCCAATAAAACAAATAACCTTCAGAGAGGAACACATATATTTTGCTGAGTTTTATCCACATCAAGTTAATTTTTTAATTTTTAGAAATTACATCTGAAGAACCATCAGAAAAAAAAACTAGTTGGATTTGAAAAGAGTTTACAACTTTCTTCAAGAGGTATTTATGTCCAGTTTTAATTGATGTGTAGTCTTACATTCTAAAAGGAAACAAATTTGATTTCCATAGTGTTTAAGAAAAATTCCTAGTTTTCTGTAGAGCTTTATTTCACCTATTTCAATTTGGGTGAAAGAGGTGGAAGAATAGAAAAAGATTTTCTGTATGAATATGCATGTCACCCCATTTAATAAGTTCTTTATCTTAATAATTCTGATTTAGTGCGAGAACCTCCCATTTAAATGGAGAGAATAATGAAATTTCTTTTAACAGTCCAAGTTCTCAGGCTTTGCAAAATTAAGGGCATATTGTCATACCACCTCCCCTTTCCTAGTAAAACATTGACATTTTTTCCTGTGTTTTTTTTCACGTAGAAAATAGAATATGTAAAAGCCATTTATACTACAATTTTCCATTCATTTGTATTAAGTGATTCTCTGAGATACGCAAGTTCAAGAAAATTTACATTAAGCATTTGTATTCCCCCATATAATATTGATTATAAGACGTTGTTAAAATAAAAACACAGTAAGTCTTGTAGGCAAAAGAAGTCATTACAAAGTAATTGCTGAGATCTGCCACTCAATCCAGCAATCCCATTACTGGGTATCTACCCAAAGGAAAATAAGTCATTATATTAAAAAAAAAAAAAAAAAAAGACATCTGCGCATACATGTTTATCAGAGCACAATTCACAATTGCAAATATATGAAATCAACATAAGTGCTCATTAATCAATGAATGGATAAACAAAATGTGATATAAGTGTAATACATGACACATACCATGGAATACTACCCAGCCATAAAAAAGAACAAAATAATGTCTTTTGCAGCAACCTGGATGGAACTGGAAACCATTATTGTAAGTGAAGTAACTTAGAGATCGAAAACCAAAGACTGCACAGGCTCACTTATAAGTGAGAGCTAACCTGTGGGTATGGAATGGCATACAGAGTGATATAATGGACATTGAAGACTCAGAAGAAGAGAAAGTGAGAGGCAGATATAGCATGAAAAATTACCTATTAGGTACGATGTGCACTCTTCAGGTGACAGTACACAAAAAGCTCAGATTTCACTACTGTACAATTCATTCATGTAAACAAAAATAACTTGTACTACGAAATTTATTAAAGTTTTTAAAATTAATTAAAATAGAAATAAAGCAATTGCTAGTCTTTAGCATATGAAGGAAAGGAGATGAGTATTTTTGCTAGCTAGCTGGCAAGTTTCTTGAAAGGTACCTATGGTAGGAGAACTGTGATTGTGGACTCCTGGTACGTGTTATCAGTACCCAATTCTTTCCTTCCTGGAAGCTTTCTGGGCCACTGACCATCCCTGGCACATTTATCTGTATAAAGTTAATAATAATCTAACAATTTCTAGAGATGTCTTCATATACTTTACTTGGATACCTTGACAAGTCCCTCACAGTGAAAACCATGTATGTAAATTTATTTTTCTGCCAACATATGGCACTTTGTCTCCATTTGTGAAGTCATTTGCTCTAAAGAAACTGTTGGAATCACTGTCTCTGTATGTAAAACCAAGTAAAACTTTAGAAAGTAGACGTTCTCAGGTACTTCTATTTCTGGTAATACCAGTAACTCCACCTACTCAGATGTATTTATAGTTAATGTTTTTCTTGGTTTTTCTGTCACAAGTTTCTCAGAAAGCAATTAAAACAAAATGCAATTACTGATACCTGTCTGTATTCATTTCTTTATCACATGTGCCAGACATATTTATAAAGATGATAATTATTTATCTCAGGAAACATGTTTCTGTTCAAGGAGCAATCAAGAAGAGGAATAAGGTCACTGTATGCTCTAATACACAGTGACAGCTAACACAGCTAAACACAAAATTCTTTGGCACTAGGAATGGAATTTAAATGTTGGTTCAGCAACCATTTCTGAAGTCTGATATCTTGTTTGAAATTTCAAAGGTATTACTACTAATGAATTTTCTAGATAAGTAATTATAACAGTTGGGATAGTTTTGTTCTTGTTGTCAAATATTTAATTTAAAATTTATTGGTACTCATCTGCTATGTTTTTCTTAAATAAACTTAAGAAAATATTACTATGTAAATTAAGAGTGAAACTACACTAGTGACTGAGGGTCATACAGTGCCATACAGAGGTATACAGAGGTACACAGCCTGTCATCTGTACCCAACACACTCATGGAGGATAAGCAAGGGCTGATTGATTTTTCACTGCAGCATAATGATTTCCTGGGCCCCTCAGTCATTTGTCTAACTATTCTGACTTCATGTTTATCATCTTACTGAAAGCAGAAGATCTGATAAAATGTATGCTTCTGAAAGCTCCAGAGATTATTAAAGTCCAGTTGTTAGCCCATAAATCATCCAAAGTTTTTACATTATGTGATTCTGAGGCATCCATGCTACTAATTATAAATTTCCTTCTAAGGCTTTTCTGATAGCCAGTGTGAAATTCTCAATCCCTCTGTGACTTACTTTGCCATTTACAGACACAGTAATGTCACCAGCCCTATGGTAAGAGGAGTTCAAATTTTTTAGAAGACCAGCCAAATTATGGTTGACTGAAACATCTGCCATCTAGTTTCCCAATAATTTACAATCTTAACTATATCATTGTAACCTGTATAAAACTCTTCCCTTGTCCTTTCATTATTTCAATTATTTTTAAGGCTTTATTTTTCTCTAAAATACTTAGCAAAACAATATCATATTAGTCAAGATAACTGAGATTCAATTCAAAAAACATTTATTAAGGCACTAATGTGTTCCAGGCATAACCCTAGAGTTTTTGCAAAATGGTGTTTGCAAAAAACAAACAAACAAAAACAGAAACATAAATATAGCTAGAATACATGACATACAGTCACTATAAGCTATTCTAAAAGTGTTGAGTGCTGTAATAGGTATAGAAATACTCTCTATATAAATGAATATAGATATAAATATAGATATACGAGGGGATATAGAATCATAGGAGCCTCCGTAGAGGTAATTAACTTTAAGCTAGAAGATGAAAATTCTTTTTGGGGTAGAGATATATGAACACTAAAAGGAAACATAAGCCAAATATAGGATAGAACAAGATCTTTCTTGGAACGGTAGTCAAAGAAGTTATATAGAAAGGGAAAATTCAGAATAGAACCTTGCAAAGGAATCTGGGACTACTTACAAACAGTTACAGACTTTCATGTCCTGTTCTTTTGGAATCGTTCCAGGCCTATCTATTCCCATCATAAAACCACTAAACCACAGGGGGACATTATAGTTCCCAGGTTGCCCTTTTCTGCCAGTGTTCTTGTCTTCCTACCAGCTATTTGCTTTCTTCCTTCTTTCCCCTAATGACATTCAACCTTCCATCACATAGGCAGAATGATGCACCTAAGGTGCAGATCTGATCCTGGCACTCAGTATCCCTGTAGCTTTTACTTGCTATAGTCTAAGTGCTCTAGCATGCCACACATAGTGCTCTGTGATGTGGCCCTTACTCTCCTTCTAGTTCCTTGATGAAGGTATCTCCAGTTAGCAGCCCATGAAGCCAGACTGCTCTCACATTTCTGTGTCTCAATGTGAGCTGCTTCTCTAAACTGAAGGAACTCTTTCATTCCAATCCTCTTACTCTCATCCCTGTATATCCTTGAAAACTGGTATTCTTAAAGACTCAACTCAGAGGGCTTACTTGGTGAATATTTTCTAGAACCTCCTCCCCTGATTAACACACAGGCTCAGCCTCTCCTTCCTCTCTATGTAGTACGCTGTAAATCCATTAATAAAAGCTTGTATCACATTGATTATTTTTTATTCCTCTTTTAAGCCTAAGTTCTAAAAACTTCATCTAGTTTATTAGTATGTCAACAGGACCTGGCGACAGTTCCTGGTTCATAACAAAGAATGAATACAGGAATAAACGAATGAATGAATAAATAAATGATTACTAATTCTTAAGTCAAGGAAGAGAGAATTTTAAGAATATGGGATTGAATCGATAGTCATTTTATATAAAAAGGCTAAGCATAGCTAGGGTGAAATTTATTAATCATCTTTGCAGTAATAATTTCTCTAAAGATTATGATGGATTGAAAAGTAAATTGTAATGGCCAGGCGTGGTGCCTCACACCAGTAACCTCAGCACTTTGGGAAGCCAAGGTAGGTGGATCACGAGGTCAAGAGTTCGAGACCAGCCTGGCCAATATGGTGAACCCCTGTCCCTACTAAAAATACAAAAATTAGCTGGGCTTAATTGCAGGGGTGCCTATAATCCCAGCTTCAGGAGGCTGAGACAGAAGAATTGCTTGCCCAGGAGGTGGAAGTTGCAGTGAGCCAAGATCAAACCACTGCACTCCAGCCTGGACTCTGTCTCAAAAAAAAAAAAATAAAATAAATAAAGTAAATTATACTAAAGAAATGGCAAAAGGGGATCTTCTATGCAATATTTCTAATTTGGTCACATTTGTAAGACTGAGGAGAAGAAAATAATATAAAGAGAAATATCGAAAATATAAGAAAGTTGGTATGATTGATGGGAGAAGATCACAAAAGAGTTAAGGAACGGGATCTTTGTCCTGAGCAGAAGATTTATCTTGGACAACAGTGGTATTTCTCCTTTTGAGACAAGTGGTAAGAAGTACACTGCAAAGTAAAGAAACAGGTAAGTTTTGAAGAAGAAATGGGATTTGAGCATTGATGCATTTGTGCCTGATATCTTCATTGTTTGCTCCAAAGAGAAGAGTTCACTACTGGAGAATGAGAACCCAAGAGAATCATAAAGATTTGAAAAATTTAGAGTAGTGCAGT